ATTTTTCAATTTTTCTGAGTGCCTTTTTTCATAGATTTCGGCTCCAAATCTGGGAATAACTTAGTATAAGGAGATCGAGAGATCACAAGTGACCATTAGGACACAAAATCTCCACACAAAAAAATTTGAAATTTCAGTGTTTTAGTAGGAAGGTACCTACCTTATGATTTAGATTTTGGAAAACTTTGACAGGTCATAACTTTTTTTCTATTAAAGATAGAAAATTGAAATTTTCAGCGATTCTTATTCCAGTAGAGGACTGATATCCCTGAAAATTTCAACTCATTTGCACTTATAGTTCCTGAGATAAAATTGTGTTAAGCACTTTGGGGTGATTTATCAATTTTTCAATTTTTCTGAGTGCCTTTTTTCATGGATTTCGGCTTCAAATCTGGGAATAACTTAGTATATGGAGATCGAGGGATCACAAGTGACCATTAGGACACAAAATCTCCACACAAAAAAATTTGAAATTTCAGTGTTTTAGTAGGAAGGTACCTACCTTATGATTTAGATTTTGGAAAACTTTGACAGGTCATAATTTTTTTTCTATTAAAGATAGAAAGCTGAAATTTTCAGCGATTCTTATTCCAGTAGAGGTCTGATATCCCTGAAAATTTCAACTCATTTGCACTTATAGTTCCTGAGATAAAATTGTGTTAAGCAATTTGGGGTGATTTATCAATTTTTCAATTTTTCTGAGTGCCTTTTTTCATAAATTTCGGCTCCAAATCTGGGAATAACTTAGTGTATGGAGATCGAGAGATCACAAGTGACCATTAGGACACAAAATCTCCACACAAAAAAATTTGAAATTTCAGTGTTTTAGTAGGAAGGTACCTACCTTATGATTTAGATTTTGGAAAACTTTGACAGGTCATAACTTTTTTTCTATTAAAGATAGAAAGCTGAAATTTTCAGCGATTCTTATTCCAGTAGAGGTCTGATATCCCTGAAAATTTCAACTCATTTGCACTTATAGTTCCTGAGATAAAATTGTGTTAAGCACTTTGGGGTGATTTATCAATTTTTCAATTTTTCTGAGTGCCTTTTTTCATGGATTTCGGCTTCAAATCTGGGAATAACTTAGTATATGGAGATCGAGGGATCACAAGTGACCATTAGGACACAAAATCTCCACACAAAAAAATTTGAAATTTCAGTGTTTTAGTAGGAAGGTACCTACCTTATGATTTAGATTTTGGAAAACTTTGACAGGTCATAATTTTTTTTCTATTAAAGATAGAAAGCTGAAATTTTCAGCGATTCTTATTCCAGTAGAGGTCTGATATCCCTGAAAATTTCAACTCATTTGCACTTATAGTTCCTGAGATAAAATTGTGTTAAGCAATTTGGGGTGATTTATCAATTTTTCAATTTTTCTGAGTGCCTTTTTTCATAAATTTCGGCTCCAAATCTGGGAATAACTTAGTGTATGGAGATCGAGAGATCACAAGTGACCATTAGGACACAAAATCTCCACACAAAAAAATTTGAAATTTCAGTGTTTTAGTAGGAAGGTACCTACCTTATGATTTAGATTTTGGAAAACTTTGACAGGTCATAACTTTTTTTCTATTAAAGATAGAAAGCTGAAATTTTCAGCGATTCTTATTCCAGTAGAGGACTGATATCCCTGAAAATTTCAACTCATTTGCACTTATAGTTCCTGAGATAAAATTGTGTTAAGCACTTTGGGGTGATTTATCAATTTTTCAATTTTTCTGAGTGCCTTTTTTCATGGATTTCGGCTTCAAATCTGGGAATAACTTAGTATATGGAGATCGAGGGATCACAAGTGACCATTAGGACACAAAATCTCCACACAAAAAAATTTGAAATTTCAGTGTTTTAGTAGGAAGGTACCTACCTTATGATTTAGATTTTGGAAAACTTTGACAGGTCATAATTTTTTTTCTATTAAAGATAGAAAGCTGAAATTTTCAGCGATTCTTATTCCAGTAGAGGTCTGATATCCCTGAAAATTTCAACTCATTTGCACTTATAGTTCCTGAGATAAAATTGTGTTAAGCAATTTGGGGTGATTTATCAATTTTTCAATTTTTCTGAGTGCCTTTTTTCATAAATTTCGGCTCCAAATCTGGGAATAACTTAGTGTATGGAGATCGAGAGATCACAAGTGACCATTAGGACACAAAATCTCCACACAAAAAAATTTGAAATTTCAGTGTTTTAGTAGGAAGGTACCTACCTTATGATTTAGATTTTGGAAAACTTTGACAGGTGATAACTTTTTTTCTATTATAGATAGAAAGCTGAAATTTTCAGCGATTCTTATTCCAGTAGAGGGCTGATATCCCTGAAAATTTCAACTCATTTGCACTTATAGTTCCTGAGATAAAATTGTGTTAAGCAATTTGGGGTGATTTATCAATTTTTCAATTTTTCTGAGTGCCTTTTTTCATAAATTTCGGCTCCAAATCTGGGAATAACTTAGTGTATGGAGATCGAGAGATCACAAGTGACCATTAGGACACAAAATCTCCACACAAAAAAATTTGAAATTTCAGTGTTTTAGTAGGAAGGTACCTACCTTATGATTTAGATTTTGGAAAACTTTGACAGGTCATAATTTTTTTTCTATTAAAGATAGAAAGCTGAAATTTTCAGCGATTCTTATTCCAGTAGAGGTCTGATATCCCTGAAAATTTCAACTCATTTGCACTTATAGTTCCTGAGATAAAATTGTGTTAAGCAATTTGGGGTGATTTATCAATTTTTCAATTTTTCTGAGTGCCTTTTTTCATAAATTTCGGCTCCAAATCTGGGAATAACTTAGTGTATGGAGATCGAGGGATCACAAGTGACCATAAGGACACAAAATCTCCACACAAAAAAAAATTGAAATTTCATCGTTTTAGAAGGAAGGTACCTACCTTATGATTTAGATTTTGGAAAACTTTGACAGGTCATAACTTTTTTTCTATTAAAGATAGAAAGCTGAAATTTTCAGCGATTCTTATTCCAGTAGAGGTCTGATATCCCTGAAAATTTCAACTCATTTGCACTTATAGTTCCTGAGATAAAATTGTGTTAAGCAATTTGGGGTGATTTATCAATTTTTCAATTTTTCTGAGTGCCTTTTTTCATAAATTTCGGCTCCAAATCTGGGAATAACTTAGTGTATGGAGATCGAGAGATCACAAGTGACCATTAGGACACAAAATCTCCACACAAAAAAATTTGAAATTTCAGTGTTTTAGTAGGAAGGTACCTACCTTATGATTTAGATTTTGGAAAACTTTGACAGGTGATAACTTTTTTTCTATTATAGATAGAAAGCTGAAATTTTCAGCGATTCTTATTCCAGTAGAGGGCTGATATCCCTGAAAATTTCAACTCATTTGCACTTATAGTTCCTGAGATAAAATTGTGTTAAGCAATTTGGGGTGATTTATCAATTTTTCAATTTTTCTGAGTGCCTTTTTTCATAGATTTCGGCTCCAAATCTGGGAATAACTTAGTATAAGGAGATCGAGAGATCACAAGTGACCATTAGGACACAAAATCTCCACACAAAAAAATTTGAAATTTCAGTGTTTTAGTAGGAAGGTACCTACCTTATGATTTAGATTTTGGAAAACTTTGACAGGTCATAACTTTTTTTCTATTAAAGATAGAAAATTGAAATTTTCAGCGATTCTTATTCCAGTAGAGGACTGATATCCCTGAAAATTTCAACTCATTTGCATTTATAGTTCCTGAGATAAAATTGGGTTAAGCAATTTGGGGTGATTTATCAATTTTTCAATTTTTCTGAGTGCCTTTTTTCATGGATTTCGGCTTCAAATCTGGGAATAACTTAGTGTATGGAGATCGAGGGATCACAAGTGACCATTAGGATACAAAATCTCCACACAAAAAAATTTGAAATTTCAGTGTTTTAGTAGGAAGGTACCTACCTTATGATTTAGATTTTGGAAAACTTTGACAGGTCATAACTTTTTTTCTATTAAAGATAGAAAGCTGAAATTTTCAGCGATTCTTATTCCAGTAGAGGACTGATATCCCTGAAAATTTCAACCCATTTGCACTTATAGTTCCTGAGATAAAATTGTGTTAAGCAATTTGGGGTGATTTATCAATTTTTCAATTTTTCTGAGTGCCTTTTTTCATGGAGTTCGGCTTCAAATCTGGGAATAACTTAGTGTATGGAGATCGAGGGATCACAAGTGACCATTAGGATACAAAATCTCCACACAAAAAAATTTGAAATTTCAGTGTTTTAGTAGGAAGGTACCTACCTTATGATTTAGATTTTGGAAAACTTTGACAGGTCATAACTTTTTTTCTATTAAAGATAGAAAGCTGAAATTTTCAGCGATTCTTATTCCAGTAGAGGACTGATATCCCTGAAAATTTCAACTCATTTGCACTTATAGTTCCTGAGATAAAATTGTGTTAAGCAATTTGGGGTGATTTATCAATTTTTCAATTTTTCTGAGTGCCTTTTTTCATGGAGTTCGGCTTCAAATCTGGGAATAACTTAGTGTCTGGAGATCGAGGGATCACAAGTGACCATTAGGATACAAAATCTCCACACAAAAAAAAATTGAAATTTCAGTGTTTTAGTAGGAAGGTACCTTATGATTTAGATTTTGGAAAACTTTAACAGGTCATAATTTTTTTTCTATTATAGATAGAAAGCTGAAATTTTTTAGCGATTCCTATTCCATTAGTAGCGGACTACAATCCCTGAAAATTTCAACTCATTTGGACTTATAGTTCTTGGGATAAAATTGTGTCAAAGAGTTTACGTACCTAGTCAACAAATATTACCTATATTAAATAATCCAAATCAAAGTTGCAAGCAAAATAATTAATAACGCATAAAAACACATATTCAAAATAAACTTGCTTGGCCGCCACGACATATTGAATTTTTATTGTGACAGATAAATTGTATTGCCTAATATAAGGTCTGTTTCTGCAGAAATCACAAACCAGTCAGACCGAATTTCATTGGTTGAAAACTAGTGTTTCAACCAATGAAATTCACTTTGACTGGTTTGTGATTTCTACAGAAACAAACCGATAATGTTTGTTTTCTTAAATCTTAGGTTATGTCATATTTTGTCTTTTGAGTAAATATAAGAATTCAATACATTCAAAAATCACAATCAGTTGTCATCTTTTTTCAACTCGCACCATTAAAGCGAGACATAGAATCTTGACATGTAGGCCAACAACAGCATCCATTTTGTTTTTTTAATTTTCAAATTTTTAAAATTATATCTTTTTTTTTTAGCAAATTTTTGAATTATCTAATCTATATACATATTACATTATAATAATATTTATTGTGTAAAACTATATATATTTAGAAGCCATTTTGTTAAGCAGGGCAAAAATTACTAGGTGGAGAAAGGTCTAAACCCAAAGTCCAAAGTCCTTAAAAACACATTATTATTATTACAGGCAAGTCTTATCAATTTTAAAATTTAAAGTCCAGCTACTTAGTACAAGCAAAGTTTGACTGCAAAACAACATGGCTTTTTCACAAGTAAGTATTGAATTTCTATATAATAATTATTGTTATTTTTGTATTTGTTTCTTTACATAGTTTGCTAAAGTAGCTGTGAGAAATACTCCAACAGCAGTCAGAAATTACAGTGCAAAAACCTTTGCAAATGGATTCAATTTTGGTAAGATAATAATCTAATAAAAATCTATACATACTTATCAAAATCTGTTACTTTAGAGCTTAATGAAACCCAAAAAGAGTTTCAAGATACAGCTAGGAAGTTTGCAAGAGAAGAAATTGTACCAGTAGCAGCAGAGTATGACAAAACTGGTGCTTACCCATGGGACATTTTCAAGAAAGCTCACCAATTGGGACTTATTAATACTCACATTCCTGAAGAATATGGTAAGGACTTGTCATTATAAGGTCATTTTGCATATACACTGTGTTTTCATATCTTTAATATCATTTGGATCAGCAGTACATACAATTGTTTATGTACAGGTGATCAAAATGATATCAAAGATGAAAAAACACCTGGTAGATAAATGAAATTTTGCTTCATAGGTAGGTATATATAAATATCTTTTCTTATTAATTCCCTATGACGATTTCAGCCTTATTTCTCATCTCTGATGATTTTTATTGTCTTTTTCTGTGAGTTTTTATAGTATTTTTACTATTTTTTCTTTACACCTATTATTTAGTGATTTTGGATGTTTATTTTCTTTATCATAATATTCTTTGAACTTTGATTTGTTTTAGGGAAACCTTATATTATTGATTAATGATTAACATTTGCTTGATCATCTTTCAAAAACTGAGACAAGTCAAAAATGTTGATTATTACCAGCTCTTGATTATTATTGGCTCTTGCTTCTCATCTATATTTAATTTTTCTCTTGCAAAACTGATTTGAAGGAAAATTTGCAATTTTGAAAAACTATTGAGGTTTTTTTGAATGAAAATCTTGATTTTTCTTTTAATAGTCAAACTTGAGAAAGTCATTTTATTTATATTTAATATTATTGAGTATATACTTAACCCAAAGATAAACAAATTTGGGTAAACAAACCATTAAAATAATATCGTCTTATCTTTATTTATTCTTTCAATTACATTTATTATTTATTTATTTATTTATCTTAGGGCCTGTTTATTCATATTCCATTAAACTGTCAGGTATGCAATCTGAATTATAAAATGGATAATTTATCTTGCAGATAGTTACCAGCAAGTTTATCTGAAGGAAAACTGAAAAATAACATTTTGGCTTATATCTTTGTTGATTTCCATCTAATTTCAAAGAAATTAAACTTCAATTGAAGCTAATTAAATCCTCTATAATTCAATGCAGCTTGAATGAGGAAAATTCTAGAATTTGGAATAGAAAAACTAAGAAAATTTATGAATTTGGAATAAAGAAAATCCAATAGCCTGGAATAGATAAAAAAATGAAAACTAGAGCCAAAATTAACTCTAAATAAGATATTGTACTTTACACGTGTGCTACTGTGATAGGAACCAAAAGACATATGGATAACAATCAGAAAATTACGAGAAAAAAAAAAAAAGTATTTCTACTTATCCAGTCTTGCAAACACCTAACAACTTACGGTTGTAGATATGATATGAGACATTACATATACAGTAGAAAAAAAGTACCAAAAAGTATCTACATATTTTATAATTTACCAGTATACATTGAAGCCCCATCTATAACATACAAGCTTTTATCTACGACAGTCTAAAACAATAAAAAATAATCCTTATTTCCTCTGTAGGTGGTTTAGGCATGGGCGTTTTCGACGGATGCCTCATCCTGGAAGAATTGGCTTTCGGTTGTTCAGGCATGGCCACAGCCTTAGAAGGCACATCTTTAGGCGTAAGAACTTAATAATGAAAGCTCTGTTATTCCAATCGACATAAGAACCGTAATTTCGCGTCGATCAATTCATTTATGTCAAGTCCAACAGACAGACAACTGGAAATTATTGGTTCTGGAACGGTTGAAGCAGAGACAAACAAAATTAATAATAATCAAATTCTCTTATAGCAAACTCCCATCCTGGCCACAGCCAATGAAGCCCAAAAGAAAAAATACTTAGGCCGCTTAATAGAAGAACCTTTAGTGGCTGCTTATTGTGTCACTGAACCAGGAGCAGGTTCAGACGTCAACGGTTTGAAAACCAAAGCCGAAAAAAAGGGAGATGAATACATTTTAAATGGGCAAAAAATGTGGATCACTGGAGGCGGAGTGGCTAATTGGTACTTTGTCTTAGCTAGAACAAATCCAGATCCAAAAGCACCCGCTAGCAAAGCCTTTACTGGGTTTATTGTGGAACGAGAGTGGCCCGGAGTGACTCCTGGACGCAAGGAAATCAACATGGGACAAAGGGCTTCAGATACTCGTGGGATTACTTTTGAAGATGTCCGAGTGCCAAAGGAAAATGTTTTAATGGGTGAAGGAGCTGGTTTCAAAATTGCTATGCTGACTTTTGATAAAACGAGGCCACCAGTAAGAATTATATTGTTCCAATTTGAATTTTTAATGAATTTTTATTTAAAACAGGTTGCAGCTTCTGCTGTGGGTTTGGCTCAGAGATGTCTGGAAGAATCCACAAAATACGCAATGGAACGTAAAACTTTTGGAGTGCCAATTTTCAATCATCAAGCTGTTGCTTTTATGTTGGCTGACATGGCTATAGGTAACTGACAACATTCATTTAATGGTTGCTTGAAAACTAAATTATGATAATTCTAGGTGTTGAAACTGGAAGATTGGCTTGGATGAAAGCAGCTTGGGACACTGATAACGGAATAAGAAACAGCTACAGCGCAGCCATAGCTAAATGCTGGGCGGCTGATATGGCAAATAAGTGTGCCACTGATGCAGTTCAGATATTTGGTGGTAATGGCTTCAATAGTGAATATCCGGTTGAGAAGTTGATGCGCGATGCCAAGATTTTCCAGATTTACGAGGGGACGTCGCAAATTCAACGTATTATCATTTCCAGGGCTTTGCAAGAGAAGGCTATGAATTAGTTAAATAAGGATCAACATATTTTGTTTTTGTGTAAGATTTTATATATTAAATGTTTTTTTTTTAAGGAGCATTTCTAGTATGATTTGATGTTTTAATTGGACTATTTATTCAATTTTCAAGGTATTTACTTAGAAGTTGTGAAAGACACTTTATTTATGATTGAGATGGGGTCTTCAAATGTGTCTCTGTAATGAATAGGCCGGCATACACACACGTTATTTCGCGAGGTTTATCATGGCATGTTGGGATGTAGTGGTTAGCATGCACGAAATAATGGCATGGCAAAAAAAGCGTCATGTTCCATATACTTGACAAAGTTTTTAAATGATTTAGCATGTGATTATGCGTGCCATATCAGTTTCAAAGAAAAAATCATATGTGTGTGGGCAAAAAGTGTCATTTAGTACTTACGTATTACGTATTACGTAGTTTAAAGTCCGTTTTTTTTTAAAGATAATTCCCCAAATCAAAAATTTAGTAATTATGTTGGCAACACAAGCCTTTTCTACATAAAAAAATTGAAAGTATTGACAATTTTACATTGTATTGCCAACATAACGTCATTTTGACTTTTATCTTTGAAAAAAAAAAAACAGATTTTATGTTCTCGTATGCTTCAAAACCGTGACGTGGAATGGCGTGTGAACACGAGTGTGAACTGCACTCATGTACTACTGAGTACTGACGCCACATTCCAGATAAAAAAACGTCTGATATCCCTTCCCTTTTTATCATTGCGTGCAGCCCTCCTCACTCACGCGCATGATTTTCACAGGTTTTTACAAATGACACGATAAACCGTGCGAAATAACGAGTGTGTATGCCGGCCTAATAGTCTCGTTGACAAAGCATACGTATACAGATACAAAATACCAAAAAATCGAAATTTTGTATCATGGCATGGCAAGTAAATTGTATCCTGAATTTATTTGTTTTAGGGTTATAGCATTGATACATGTGTTATTATATTTTTGTCTCTTTTCACTTGTACCTTTTATTTGCCATTATTGTCTTTCAGTCTTACAGAGTCCCAGCCCTGATGTGGCTTCCTTCCTCCCCTCATAGCCACCCCGATACTCGCAACTGTTAACTTTGAGATACTGATATAATGCAGTACAATTGATACTGATACGTAATTCTCTGCCTGAGACATTCCTAAACGAGATTATTAGACTTGGATACACACTCGTTATTTCGCGATTATTGATGCGAAAAGCTACATGAGAAGACTGATATTCTAACAATCTGTCATTAATACTGAGGTGACTCGGGTAGCAATCGCAACCGGGTGAACCATCTGCCTGGCATTTATTCTGGTAATAATATGCACAAAAGGTTTTATTTAAAAAAAATTGGTTGTCATTAGGCCGGCATACACACACATTATTTCATGTGGTTTATCGTGGTATGTTGGGATATGGCGGTTAGCATGCGCAAATGAACGATGTGTCAAAAAAAGCGTTATGTTTCATACACTTGACAAAGTATTTAAATGATTTAGCATGTGGCATATCAGTTTTAGAGGAAAAATCGTATGTGTGTGGGCAAAAAGTTTCATTTATCGTGTCATTTGAAAGTGCATACATATGGTAATGTACTAATTTTCAACGTGAAAGTTTGCGACGTGGCGTTCATGTTTTGGTACTAGCCTCAAAACAGTGACGTGGGATGGCGTGTGGACATGGATTGCGAACTGCAGTACTTGAGTAGACGCCACATTCAATGAAAACATGTGTGAAATACTTTCCCATTCTATCATTGCGCGCAGCCCTACTCACTCACGCACATGATTTTTGTCAGCTTTTTGCGGATTACACGATAAACCGCGCGAAATAACGTGTGTGTATGCCGGCCTTATCATGCACTACTGAGTACTGACGCCATATTTCAGATGAAAGCACATCTCAAATCCCTTCCCTTTATATCATTGCGTTTAGCTCTCCTCACTCTCACACATGATTTTTCACAGGCTTTTACAGATGACAGATAAACCGTGCGAAATAACGAGTGTGTATGCCGGCCTAATAATTTCGTTGACAAAGCATATACATTCTAAATAATCGAAAAGCTTTAACAGAGTCCCAACTCTGATTCCCCTGATGTGGCCTCTTTCCTCCTCTTATAGCCACCCCGATCCTCGCAACTGTTAACTTTGAGATACTGATATAATGCAGTAGAATTAATACTGATACGTAATTCTCTGCATGAGACTTGATTCTGATGCGAAAAGCTACATGAGAAGAATGATACTCTAACAATTTGTCACTGATACTAACTGTGGTGATCCGGGTGAACCCTCTGCCTGGCATTTATTCTGATAATATGCATGAATGCTTATATTTTAAAAGATTGGTTGTTATTTATAATAGAATAACATAAATCAGAAATCATACTCAAATCCTAGTGACATTAGTGAAATTTCATTGATATTATCCCATATTGGTCACTTTGATCCATCTTTCACCTCAAATATCTCGGAATCTAGCCTAAGTCGGACTCTGTGCCCGTGAACACTTTAAAATTTAAATCACATTCCCTACCTTATCCCCTATTTTAAACCAATTCGACAGTTAAGCCCTTCTCATGAGGTTTGTGTGGGGTCCTTTGGAATTATTGATGAAAGAATCGTCGATATCCAACATGGCGTCTATTAGGTCTGATGCAAATTATCATCAGTCATCTCTGAAAAACCTAGTGTCCTTAGTGAATTGTTAAAATATTAATAAAAGTGTCTTAGAGTAGAGTAATAAAGTGTCTTTTACTGGAAGGAGCACATCACAACGTCCACATTATCTCCATAGAGATTATCTCTCAGCATAGGATCATTGCACGGGATTTTCAAATACTATCAACCATAGTGGAATATAGGAGATGAACTACTTCGCAGAAATTCTCTTAAGAATAAAAGACCTCCACTTTGAGTCAGAGATAAATAATTTTTTTATATTGGCTGCTGGCAAGAAATGTAGTAAAGTGCAACAACTGAGTGAACCTTGGCAATGTATGAAGTAGCAGAGGGGAAAACGAAAACCTATACTATACGACGTGACTGGTTCCCGGAGTGGTGCATTGCGAAAATTGCGGTTACCCTACTGACGCGTATATACAGGGGGTCCAGAGCTGGGCAGGGCTTGAGTGCTTTGTGCTTGTGAAAGTGCTTGAAGCACTTTGAGGACTTGAAAGCCCTGTGCTTCAAGCCCTTTTATAGATTTGTAATTGGGGCTTGCAAAGTCAATTACTTTAGAAAAGTGCTTGGTAATTTGTAATTGAAAAAAGTAATTCAAGCCCTTTCAATGAGCTTCAATTACTTTTTAGAGGGCTTGAAGCACTTTTGGGAGCTTGAAGCACTTTGAAAGGGCTTGAAGCACTTTAAGAGGGCTTGAAGGAATTTTTGGGAGCTTGAAGCACTTTGAAAGGGCTTGAAGCACTTTAAAAGGGCTTGAAGCACTTTGAAAGAAATTTGAATTGACCATCATTCAACCTATCTCCCACTTAAAAATTTTCGATCGATGTGTTTTGTCGCTTAATTTTTTTTCTTCTATTATTTGAACTTGAATCGTCTTATGTCTTTTCTCTCTTAACAATGGAGGTTTTGGGTTTGAGCTTAGAATTGAATTAAAAAAAAAAAAATTAATGAACTTATTATTCAAATAAATAATTAATTTATATTGGTACCCTATTTAACTTTATCACTGGATTTTTTTCACTTTTCCTCGTTGAACATTTTGAAAATCTTAAAATTGCCATGTAGTGCCCCAACTACCCCAAGTACCCCAGAACTACATCTCAAAAAAAAAACTACTGCTACTCTGTGAAATGTAAAGTTCATCTCTACTATACCAATTCAACTGATGGGTGTACGCGGTAGCTAATGCCAATTTTATTACAAATTCAAAGTGCTTTAGGCAAATTTAAAGAGCTTCAAGCACATTTAAAGAGTTTCAAGCACATTTAAAGAGCTTCAAGCACATTTAAAGAGCATCAAGCACATTTAAAGGGCTTCAAAGCACTTTTTAAGGCTCCCCAAGCACTTTTGATGTGCCCCGAGCACTTTTCAAATCACTTTGAGGGCTTTGTGCTTGCCAAGCCCAAAGCACTTTGAGGGCTTAGTGCTTGTGAAGCACTTCTGAAAATAAAAAGGAATTTGTGCTTGAAATTGAAAGCACTTTGATAAAGGGCTTAGGGCTTAGTGCTTCAAGCCCTTTTACTGAGGGCTTCGCCCAGCTCTGAGGGGGTCCCACGAGGTTCCTCCCAAATGATCATTTCGGAACGCATCATCGTATGTTTCACTGTATAATTTTCTGTCATATCCTTTAACAAAGCTTCAACAAATATGGCATAGCCGCTTTTGTAATTTAATTTTCTAACGAAAAATACCATAATATACCATGAGTTACATTTAAGATTCGAAAGTTGACGTCACTTGACCGAAATTGAAGCAAAAATGGTAAAATTGGATAACAGTGGTAGAAGCGGCACAAAAAGGACCCCGCACATTTCTTATGGAAAAGTGATCTATGTTGAATTTTGCTGAATTTTTGATATTGTGTATAGGGAGTCGTCCTTAACAAAAGTGATCATTGCGCTAATGTTCAATACCTAACAGTTTTCAAGATATCAATTAAAAACTTTTTCAATATGATACTCTTCAGTATGACGTCACTCACAGCACCGAACATTATTACTATCCTTTCCACTTTTGACTTTGACTTTACTCTTCTCCTTTTAACATCAAGAAAAAAAAAGATAGCGATAGCGATTAGTGACAAATAGGTGGGTATGTAAACAACACCTAGCTCCTGCCGCAATCGTCAACTTCATGTAATAATGTCTGTCATATAGCGATTTCATTTGTACCTGTTGTTGTTGTTTTTTTTTAATTCCTAAATGTTGAAAAGAGTAGAGTATAAGTATAGGTAGTCAAAGTCAAAAGTGAAAAGGATCGTTATAATTTTCGGTGCTTTGAGCATACTGGTGACGTCATAATGAAGAGTATCAAATTAAAAAAGTTTTTAATTGATATCTTGAAAACTGTTGGGTATTGAACATTAGCGCAATGATCACTTTTGTTAAGGACGACTCCCTATACACAATATCAAAAATTCAGCAAAATTCCACATAGATCACTTT